GGGCCTCTGGTGGCTCTGGGCTTCCCCTGCTGTTTTTCAGGTACAGTAACATCTGACCTTTGTGTTGACACTGAGGAAATAGATGGGTTCAAGCTAAGAATGTACAAAATAACTGTGCATGTACTTTAAGTGTCTTCACGAAGTTATAACCACTCAAAAGTTTCCTCCTTGGCTACAGTTATCCTTAGGAAGTATTTACAAGACACAGACCAAAATAAATGACTTTCAGCTTCTCAGTCAGGAAATGCCTTGAAGTATAGATCCTGCTGAGATACAAAATGGCAAATGCAAACAGAAGACAAAAGAAAAGCCAGATGTCATTTGGCTGATGGCAGTTTTACCCTCTGATTATAGGATGGATGTTTCTCTTTTGATAAGACTGCCTTGGCTGAATCAAAGAATACTTGTTGGGTCTCAGAGTCAAGGTCCCCTGTTTTCAACTTAAACAGCCACCATTATGTAATATTTTTTCAAAGGCATTTTTATGAAATGGACCCCCAAACCACTAAGGTACTTTTCACACCATGATTTTCTTTCTTATATTTACGGCTGACATGGGTGCCTTACTACTTGGGAACACAAATTGGACCTTCCACTGAAGTTTTCCGTCTACCTAATAGCAACTGGACTCTGTAAATAACATAGAAGTTGTTGGGAAAATTTCCATTCAGTGACTTTGAAAACAGTTGAGAGCTGTTCTGGTGAGAAAGGAAGGGGAAAAGAGGGAGAGTGACAGAGGAGGGGGCGGAGGGCAAGAGGGAAGAAGGTAATGAACAAAAGGGAAAAGAAACATGAAAGCATTTGCAGAACAAATTGAACATCTATTGTGGTAAAAACAGGAACAAAGCATTTGAATTAAGTCAATCAAGGCTGTAAGTCGAAAGAGATGTTGATTTTTTTTCAGAGTTACAAAGAAGCCTTTATTGTTTCCAACATAGCAGTGGTCATTTACAATGTATTGTTGATAGAAAGTGGCCAGGAAACAAGTGAAGATTGTGATTTGCTTCCCAGGATAACTTTGCAAGCTTACTTTGTGCCCATTAGAAGTAGTCAGTGATTCCTGGAACATCAGTTCATAAGACAAGAGGCACACTTAATGTATAAAAGGGTTTTTATTTTTGCCTAAAATGTGGGTGCTTCATTTCAATTTGTATTTCCTTTTTAGTACGTAGGGCAGAGATACTCACTTCCCATACCTATTCACGAAGTAAACTCATAATGTCCATTAGGGGCAGTCCTTCACATCAGCTCCATTCTCTTCCCCTTTCCATTATTCCTCGTTTTGCTTTAATAAAAGAAGAATTGCATTTACTTCCATGTCCACTCTGTGATTTTCCTAATCAGCTGTATTGTGTCTAGCTCTGGGACTACTTCCTAGGTAAACTTAATTCCTTCACTCTCCACAAAACTTAATACTTTCCTTCACATGTGGAACCCTGAGGAGCCCTCTCCTTCCATGGCTATAGCATTTTGCAGTGTCCTCTTCAAAGAGGCATGTGAAATCTCCTCAGGTTAGTTCATTCTCACTAGTAATTGGAGTATATTTCCTTTCTTTGGAGTTGAAATAATGGGAACTAAATGCCCCCCAAGTCACATGGCATGAGGAAATATCACCAAGATTTTCCTGAAAGAATATGTAGATGCCTTGTGATTATCATTTACAGGGTAAGAGTATATAATGCTGTGCTGGAATAAAAGTATTGAATTTGAATTTAGGATACCAAGCTTCTTATCCTACTTGAATGACTTACACTATAGAGTCTCAAATTCTATACCTGTAAATTTGGATAAAAGTTCTTGTGCTACAAGATTATATACAATGTGTAAATAATAGATTGGGTAAAGATATATATCCGGAATATAACAATCCTATGTTAAATCGATTTTGTTACCTTCACAATGACCTTATATAAAGAAAATGTGCATTACCAAAGAAAAGTTGTCTGTGTTTCTCAAGAGTCACAGTCAAAACAGAAATTTGAATCGACCTACCCAGGGAAACTGACTGATGCCAACCACAGTCAGAAGCAACTAATGTGCAAAATGTCATTTCCCTTGCTAGTTTCTAGTTACATGGTAAGCTGAATTAGAAATAGAGTATTTGCTTGATGATTACAGAATTAGATTAAATGGAGACCACCTAATCTTGTAGGCAATTTCATTTAATTATAAGACCAATGGATGTTCTTGCACCTTGGCAGAAAATATTTCTCTTTTCTGGTCTCTCTCAGATTTAGCATATCTCCTTTGAAAATGCCGAACGCAAAATCTAAGATATCCTTTGACTATTATTTTTCTAAGTTCCATGATACCATCCCCTTTTTTGATGATCTTTTTTAATATCACTAATTAAGCTACAGATAATCCACTGTTCTCTGAGCCTGGGAGACATTATTGTCTCATTCTATTATGTGCTGATTTAATTATGCCAACTCTCAGAGTTCCAGGAATGCCTCAGTGGAAAGCTTAAGTATAACATACATTGGTCTTGGCCGAAGAGGCTAAGTGATTAACCTAGATTTCTCATTGTTTTTTTTTTTTTTTTGTTCCTCCGGGTTTATTATATCACAAATATATTACAGTAATTTATTCAAATAAGTATGGGGAACGGGTAAGTTAATTCCCCCTGCTTAGCATGTATTAGATTATTTTCTATTGAGGTTAAGTGGAACAGTTAAATCTTGCAAGCTCATTAGATTTTATTTGATTCTGAAAGTAATTTTATGATGTTATTCTACTTTAGAAGAATAGAGCCAGTGCCCTGAGAAGTACAGGAGATAATCTTGCTAACCCAACAAGATATTTTAAAAGAAGTAAAAGAACACTATCCATGAATCCAAAATAAAGGAGCTTTAATCATCCCCAATTAAGGAAATGTGTGTGAAAATGCTATGTCTTCAAACATAATTGGGTTTTAAGTATTTCTTTTAATATGCAATTACTACCTGTAATAGTAAACTGCAGAAAGGTCAGAATATAGTTAATTTTATTAACTAACTTATCAAGAGAAATTTATTGTGTACAATAGATTCTGAAAAGAAAAGCAGAATTATTAAATTTCTTACATAGAAAAATATGGGGAAATTCCAAGTATTGCTGATTTAATTACCTTTTTCTGTGTCTTCTGTTTACCTCAGATTTAATATACAAAATTGAGCTTGCAGGGGGCCTGGGAGCAATCTTCCTCCTTCTTCTACTGCTGGTGGTGGTCTACAAATGCTACAACATAGAATTGATGCTTTTCTACCGACAGCGTTTTGGAGGTGATGAAACCGCTGATGGTAAGCCATCTCTTGTTTCCCAACCTCAATTCATAGGCATAATTATGAATGATTGTGTAATAGTCTATTTCTATTCTTGGAAACAGAAATTAAAATATTTAAGGATAAAAGATTATGACATGTGTAACTTACTCTCAAATAATTTAGAAAAAGAAATGTTAATAAAGAAAAAATGATGAACAGGCAAATCTAGATAAAGGATATAATGCATTATTTTAAAATAATCATATTCATGTAATCTTCCTATGTTTAACATCATTTCCAAATTTAAAAACTGAACAAGATATTTCTTGATTTACAGGCATACAACTGTTATGAAAACTTTTGCCTTAGTAAAACAAAAGAATAAATTTATGTGTTATTTTTGTCTAGAAAATTAAAACTTAGATACAGGTAATTTTTACCAATTACTATCATAAAGAAAACAAGCATGCATGAAAAAATATTTCTAAAGTATGGGCATGTTCCTTTAACAGTTCAACAAAGTACATGAACCTACATATTTTGAATACTTTTAGTACCATTCTCAGAGACGAGTCAAAGATACAAATTTAGAATGTGTCTGTTATGGTTTGAATATGTGGCAACCCCCACAGACTCATATGTGTGAACATTCAGTACCCGACTCATAGCAGTGATTAAGAACTTGTAAGTGTAGCCTAACTGGAAGACTTCCTTTGCTAGTGAATGAACTTAGTGAGGCATCAATTTCTATCTGGGTTCTTTGCTTCCTGGATCCCCTAAGAGGTGAGTTATCTCCCTCTCAAGCCTGCCCCACTGCCCTGAACATGGGTGTCAGTTGGGAGGCCAGAGCAGTCTATGGGACCTCTGTTAGTGGGTCAGTATTTATCCCTAGTGCATGAATGGAATTTGGGAGCCCATTCCCTATCGAGGGATACTCTGTCAGCCAATATACATGGGGGAGTGCCTAGGCCCTGCCCCAATGATGTGACAGACTTTGATGACTCCCCATGGGAGGCCTCACCCTCCCTGGGGAGGGGATGGAGGTTGTATAGGGGGTTGGTAGGAGGCATGAGAGGATGGGAGAGAGAGGGAACTGGGGTTAGTATATAAAATAAGATTGTTTTTAATTTAAATTTAAAAAGCAAAGAAAAAAAGACATGCCTGAATTTTTACATGGGTGTTACAGATTCTAATTAAAGTTTTAATGCTTATACATCAAGAGTTCTCAACCACTAAATCTAAGTACTGAATAAATTAATTTTAACATCCTTTTAGAAAATACATTATACATGCCAATGCCAACTGTATTTGCTACCAAATTCTTCATTATTTTGTATATTCTAACATCTTATCAACATAACTTAGTTTTTTCGGTATAATTTTATTTGGGTTTTCTCTTTTTGACTATGTCTACACACACACACACACACACACACACACACACACACACACACACACACACTATACTTAGACATATATAGTAACTGTGTTAGTTAGGCTTTCTATTGCTATGATAAAACACCATGACAAAAAGTGACTTGAAGAGAAAAGAATGTTTTATCTTTTAAGTATCAGATCACAATCTATCATGGAGGGAAGTCAGGGCAGGAACTCAAGACAGGAACATAGAGACAGGAACTGAAGCAAAGGCCATGGGTGAATGCTGCTTACTGGCTTGTTCTTCATGGCTTGCTTATCCTGC